CCCAGGCGACACTGGGGTGATACACGTAGCGCCCCATGGGGGTGGAATGGAGGAAATGTAGGCAGCCATACAAGCTCTCTGGAGTTCTTAGGATCCTGGAAAGGCAGGACCTGAAGGCACAAAGGGGCCAACCTTTCTTGTTTCCAGATGAGGAAACTGAGGACTGGAGAGGGCCAAGCCCTAGCCGACGTCTCCCAGTCCTAGGAGATTTGGAGGGTGGGGCTGCTCCCCTGAGTGGGGATATGTGTGGAGGCTGGACCCAGGCCAGGCAGAGGAGGGAGGTGGCTGTTACCAGGGGAAGAGGCAGATTCTGGCTGGGAGCCCAGATGGGGCCGCCTCCTACTCCTCCAGGCCAAGGCAGGACGCAGGCCAGGCCCTGAAGACACCAGATGCTGCAAGGCCCAAGCCAGCACCACACCAGCTTTGCAGCCCCCACTCCGCTGCCGCCCCCCATTCTGCCTCATGCCGTGGGATTCTGTGGGCATCAGTGTCCCTCTGGCACAAAACCAGGCAGGCCATTGGTTGGGGCCATGGTGCCTCCCAGGGCCTTGGCCTTCCCTGGGTGGTCCTGAAAGAGTGGTCCAACCCCCTTGAACCTCAGTCTCCTTGTCTGTACGTGGGCCTCCCTGGGCTGCTGTGAGGTTGGAGCAGACCATGCCCAGCACTCTGCACTCATAAGCCTCCTCCCCACAACCCGAGCCTGTTTCCCTGGCTAGAACCCACGCCCCCGGCCCAGCATACTGCAATTTCAACGTATACGCAGAGTGCCCTCGAGTCTGGGAAAGTACAGGGTCCTCACATCGAACCATGCTGCATGACTGAGCCCACCCTTTCTGGGCGACGAGGCTCTTTTCATTTTGGAAACTGGGTAAAATCAGAGTAACAAAGGGGGTGCCTCAGGGGACCCTGTCTGCAAAACACAGAATGAAGCTAAATTGAGCCTCGGAATCCTACTGAACATTCTCCATTGTTTTCAAAATTAATCCCATGATGTGTCTGAAGTGGTGGCCCCTGTGGGCCTCCCCCTTCTCACTCCACCCTGACCACAGCTGTTCCCTGAACCCATTATATTCCCACCTCACGGCCTTTGCCTTGTTGAGCTTGCTGCCTGGAGCCCTTCACTCCCAGCTCCTTCCTCAAAGCCTTTGTCATCACCTAATCACATTCTTGTCACTTCTTGAATTGGAAGGCCCATGAAGGCAGGGCCAGGCCTGTGTCCACCTCTGTGTTCCAAGTAGTGTGAACTGCATCCTGCCCTTAACAGCAGTGTGGTCAACACTTTGTCAATAGACCAAATGTCCTTATTCCTCCTCCCTTGGAAGAGGAACCATTGCCTCCCTGGAAAGGAAAGGAAACTGAGGGTCTGAAGAGACCACTCACATCCCGGACAGGGCCCCTGACTGCTGCTCACCTGGCTCGGGGGCCCCCTCTTGGGGCCTGGCAGGCAGTGGGCGGGGGCCACGGGGGCGAGGGCCAGGCCTGGACAGGGCCACAGGCCCCAGGAACTCGACATAGGTGCCTGGAAAATCACCGCGCTGCCGTGTGCGTTCGTTGAGGCCAGGCATCCAGCCCACGTTCTGTGGGCAGCGCTCACTGCCCTCGGCCACACCCAGGACCTGCAGGGCCGCCCGGCTCACCACCAGCAAGTCGCCTGGTAGCAGCTCCAGGTCCTCTGGCCGCTCCCGACGAAATGGGTACAGTGCACGGTACTGGAAGCCCTCAGCGCCAGCCATGGTGGGCTGTGGGGAGGGGTCAAGTCGGTCACGCAGCTGCTCGGGGCCCCAGAAGCCCCATCAGCCAGGGTGGGGGCCGGGAGTTTCCGCTGGGTCAGCTTGAGGCACTTGAAACCTCTATTTCCACCAAGAAGTTACAGGTAACCACGGGGGATGCTCACGCCTTGCTTCCTGCCATTATTCCACGACCCTGACAAGGGTCACTTGTTGCTTCGTCCACCATTCGTCAACTGGTGGGAGTTGGCAGTGTGATCTCCGGTCACTCGGCCGCTGTGTGCCCCCTCAATCTGTAGGGCTCAGCCAGGCCACTCACTCTCTCACACGTGGGGCCATTGGCGCCCAAGGCTGGCGGCTCTTCCAGCTGCGCCAGACGAGGGAGCCGAGGGCACAAGCTGTCACCATGCTCGGCAGGGGACGCTGACCTAGAGAGAGATGACAAGGTAGTATGAGCCAGGTCGTACTACTCCTATTCCTAACTCAGAGACAGGCCTACATCCTGGGTTGGAATCCCCTGATTCACTGGGTCACCTAGGGCCAGTGCCTGCCCCTCTCTGGGTCTTAGTTTCCCTAGTCGTAAAGTAGGTGCAATAGCTCTCCCTTGGAGCATCTGCCCTAGGTATACTGCATGCTTGGTAAACAAGCTCTGTTAGAGATAGGGAAACTGAGGCTCAGGGCAGGGAAGTCTTTGTCAGGCTAGGAAGCCAGGACTCAAAAACTCACATCTGCTTAACTTCTAGGCCCAGGATGAGAGGAAGCAACAGCCACAAGGCCAAATAGTTAAACCCAGAGAGGATAGGGAGACAGGGGACACTCAGGGTGCTGTGGGAGCACTAAGGAGAGGTCAAGTGAGCTGAGCACAGAAGGAGGCAGCAGGGGCACAAAAGGGTAGAAAAGGAGGTCCTGGCAGAGGCCCCCTGCACAGGCAAAGGCCTAGAGGTGAGTCCAAGCAAACAGATCTGATTTCTGCAGGGGAAGAGTGAATAGGACCCCTCAGCACAGGGCCGCACAGTAGGTGCTCAGCACATGAGGGGGTTGGTGGAAGGCTGAGAGGACCCTGGCCCCAGGTGGATGGCAGAAAGGCCCTACAGCTGCCAAGGGGAAGGCTGCTGTTTGCAAGGTGATGACTACTTTCCAGAAGCCCCTAGTCTCAGAGAGAGAGAGAGCCAAGCACACACACATTCCCAGTCTCAGCTCTTCAGGTTCCGAAAAGCGGGGTGCTTTTCTGGAGGGCGAATCCTCACTAAAGACAGGAAGGGGCATTGCTAACGTGCAAAGGCTTGACAGCAGGAAGTTGCTTGCCAGAAGTTTAAGCCACTGACCAGACCACTCAGGGCCTCAAGTGCCAGGCAGAGGGTAAGGGATTACCCTCTCCCTGCCCCCACATATACACCGTGAGAAGCATCAGAAGGTGTCCAAAAAGCGAGCAGAACCTCCACGTTCTGAAGCGCCCCAACTTACCCGCTCCCTGACCCCTGTATCCCCATTCTACAGGTGGGAAAACTGAGGTCCAAAGAGGGGATGTCGAAGAAACCACCTGGATCCGCTTGCCTGCACACGTTTGCACATGCCTGGTGAGCGCGCTGGGGACCCAAGAGCTCCCTAATCCAAGAGGCGGGGTGTTGGAGCCAGGCCTAGCGGGGTGGTGGAGCTCGAAAGCTGGACGCAAGGCCTGCGTGGACCCCGCAAGCTGAGCCCAGGGAACAGAAATGTAGCCGACCCCAGACCCTCGCACCCTACCATGCCCCCACAATGCATGGGCGCCCCTCATTTCTTCTCGACGCCCCGCTCCCATCAGGGCCTCCCTCTATTCCGGGCCGCGGCGCCAGCCCCGTATCTCAGCCTGGAGGCTCCCCGTTCCGCCCCTACGGTCCGGGGCGGCTGCACGGCTGCCAGGTAGAGACTGAGGCCTTCAGCTCTCTGCGGCCTCCCCAGGTCCCACCGGCCCACACTCTGTCTTGGCGCCCCTCATTTGCGCGCACCCCCAGGACCGCCTTCCACGCCGGCCAGCAGACTTACCTGGTTGTGGCCGTCGCCGCAGCCGCCGCTGCCGCCTCCGCGGCCGCCGTCACGCGAAGTCGAGCTCGATCCGTGGCTCCACTGCGGCCGCCGTCGCCGCTGCCACGGGATTGCTGCTGCTGCCGCCGCCGCCGCCGCCGTTCCGAACGGCCGGGCCCGCCCCCGGCGGAAATGGCCGAGCGTATTCGGGCCGGGAGGACGAAGCAAGGCCAAGGCGGAGCCTGGGGACGCCCGAATGCTTCCGGAAAGAGCCAAACGTACTCCCGCGGGATTGGAGAGTAGCGGGGTGCACCGGAGATAGCCGATTATTCCCGGAAATAACCGAACTCAATCGGGTCAGATGAAGGATCCCGACAGTGCCCTCGGCTGGGCTGGGTTGGGACTCCCGAGCGATTCCGGAAATAGCCGAGCGCAATAGGGTCGGACGAGTGACCCAGAGGCTGGGCTCGGCAGGGCTCGGCTGAGTTTAGAGACGCCTGAGCGGTTCCGGAAATGGCCAAGCGTGCCCAGGACTGGCGGAACAGAGGCTGAGTCCAGAGACCGCGGAGTTTCTGGAAAGAACCGGGTTTGCTCGGCCCCAAATGAGGCCCTAGGAATTCAGCCCCAGAGACAGACCACCAGCTTCTAGAAATTGTCGAATGGACGGCTCCAGAGGGCGGATGATGCGGCCCTGAGCTCAGGGAACAGGAGGCGGCGTGGTGAGAATACCACAGAAAGCTGAGGGCTGAAAAGGAGCCACGGTGCAAGGCGTTTCCTTGGCAGCCCACAGCGTCCAGAAGCAGCCGAATGAACTCCGGCCCTGCCGGCGCAAGATCACGCCCACTACGGGACGAGATGCAGACGACTGTTTTCGGAAAAAGCCGAGGACACTCGGAAACGGAGGGCGTGCCCAAAGATTTCTGACCCGAAGGAGAGCTCGGGAAGTAACCGAACCCGCTCGGGCTGGGCTGGGTTCGGGTAGGGATCTGGGGAGTTTTAGGGCACAAGCCAAGCAGGTATAAAAAGGACACAAAAATGGCTCCTTTATTTTAACATGGGTGCCTGGATGACGCTTTTAAGGGTAAAGCCCAGGATGGGAATTCAGACGGCAGCAGGATTAGAAAAAAACATCAGGGAGAATCTCAGTGAATTCCTCTGCAGCCTTCAAAATCCACTTCGAGTGACTGAGCCAAGGGTCTGTTTTCACCCCGCCCTCACCCCACTCTTCCTTTACTTTTCTTGGCCCTTCACAAATCAAGACATTGGACCACCTCTTTGTCACTGTGGGTTTTATTCACTGTCAGCTCCGGGATGGAAGAAAGGAGCAAGTCATGCATAGCCTTGGTCTAGCTCCAACACCAGGCAATGCTGGGCGGGGTGGGGGGATGCAGAGTAGGCTGCAGTATATGGAAAGTGCCCTCACCACGTGGAGCACAGCAATCTTGCCAGCCGCCTCCAAATGGGAAGTGAAGGCTCTGTGGGTCACACAGTATCACAGGCTGGCTGTATCTGACTGACATGACTGTATTCAATCTTCTTTGATGGCAAAGCCCACAACAAGGCCTGGCTGCCTGCTCTAACCAGGCAATTGTGGTACAAGTCTCCACCCCTCACCAGGCCTCAGTCATTTGTCTATAAAATGGGGGTGACGACATCACCTCCAGCCTTCTCAGGCTGGCTGAGGAAGAAGCTGTGAGTAAAAGCACTTGGCACACAATGGGTGCTTAACAAATGATCACTGGGATTAGTTTTGTAAACACGTGGAAACTCAGGCACAGAGTGGGGAAGCAATATTCCTAGAGCCAAATAGTGAAACCAAGATTCAAACTTGTGCTTCACTGCCTCCCTGTTGGATTTTCTCATTAGAATTTCATCCCAGGGAGGCTCTGACACATTGAAGGAACCCCCGGGGGATGTTTTAGACACATTATGGTCCAGGGTGAAGTCTTGTCTTAAGGTGGACATTCTTCTGCCCTGGCACTGTCTTTTGAGGCCTCTGCCTCCTGGGCACTCTCCTGTGGAGTGAGTGACCCCTCTGCCTAGTGCCCACATCATCTAAGCCCACAGGACCAGAGGCAGACTATAGCCAGGTTGGCCTATGGGTGGAGGCTACAATGGTGAGATGCAGCCTTCAGCATCCAGTCCATCATGAGGATGATTTTGTTTTGTGGTGTAGGGGAATCAATTACGGACTCTCCAGGTCACATCCAAATGGCCCAGACAAGTGAGCTGGGCTGTGACCTCTTAAATAGGTAGGTCTTAGGTCAGGGATGGGATCAAGTGACACACAAAAAAACTTTAAAAGTACAGAAAAACGAGAAAACATGAGCACATGTGACTCGTCCAAAGTGCTTCCTTCTGAGCCCCAGGCACAGGATCTGCAAACAGGGTCCCAGGTGCATGGGGCAGGACCCAGGCAGCTGCCATCACAGGAACAGCTCCGTCTGGCCATTGCTTATAAAAAGTAATAAATTAGTTGCAGGGATTTGCTGCTATTTACAGTGCCACCCTCATCTCCCATTTCTGCCCTACAGCCCCAGACTGATTGGCACCAGAACACAAGGGAGGCACTTGACTCCACCTTTGAGCAAGGACCATGATGGCTTCCCGCTTTCTGGGTATCCCAGGCTGCTGGTTCAGTGTCCATCCGGGTGCCACTTAATTTGAAGAATCTTGCACAAAAAATGCATGATTTCCAGGCCAGGAGGAGGCCAGGTAGGAGAAATCAGTCCTTCCCCACGGGTCCCAGGGCTCCTAGCACAGCCTCGGCACCCTCCACTGCAATCTGTGGCACCACAGAAGGCAGCCCAGTGGTCTCCTCGGGTGGCTCATCAAAGCTCACCTCCTGCACAGCCTCCTGCTTCTTGAAGGAGTCACGGCGCTCAGACAGGTGCAACCGTCGCATGACTACCAGCTCGGAGTCTGGCCCACGACTGCGACGCCCTGGTTCCCCATCTAACCGCTCACCTGCACCCAGCTTGTCGGCTGACTGGCCTCGGCGTAACCTTGGGGACCAGGTGGGTGTGGGTGGGTGCCCGGGCAGGGGTGAGGGCGAGCGGGGTGGGGGTGCAGGCACAGGTGGGCAGGCCAGTGGGGAAGGCGGGATGCTGCTGGTGGACTTGCGGCGGCCAGCCTTGGGGCGGGGTGGCCCTAGCTTGGCAGCCAGGCCATGCAAGGAGCTGGGGCGAGTGTGGCCAGTGGCAGCTGGAGAGGCAGGGCTGCTGGAGCTCGGAGATACACTGGGTGGAGATGCAGTGTCTGTGGGTGACAGGTGAAGGTCAGGGCCACTGGCCTCATGTCCCCAGCCTTGAGGTGGGGCCCTGGGACTGACTGCACATGCCAAAACCCAGCATGCCTGCTTTTCCCGCCTCCTATTTGCACAGGCAGTTCCCTTGGCTTAGATCTGATGAACTCCTATTCACCCATCAAAGCCCTAGCTCTTATTCACCTATTTCTCACCTAATGAACCATTCATTAGGCCATTAAATTGGGGGGTAGTAGGGAGCCACGGTCCGTCCATCCATTCAATGAGACATCCACCTACTGGTCCCCAGAGTTATCCAGCAAGGGCCCTGCCTCTTCTCCTGTGCTCACCTCCCTACTCCCAGGCCTCAGCCACGGAGGACACTTGGTCTGAGGAAGGCAGAGGTAGCATAGATACCCTCAGACCCAGAAGGTCAGGGTGGGCCAGAGGGAGAGACAGTAGTTGGGCAGGGAGGGCTTCCTGGAGGAGTGGCTCTGTGGTCCTCTTCCAGGAAACCTTCCCTGTTGCTCCTCTGGGTTGCCCCAGCCTGTTTCTCACAGACTGGGAGTCCTCAGTGTTGGACCAAGTTACTATCCTTTCCTGCCCTAGAATAATCTTTCCATGCCCTCTCCAGCCCACACACCCTCCGTAGCTTCCTATTGCTCCCCAATTTTATCCTAGCTCTCAGGCCTGATCCACCCCCCAATGCCCACGCTTCAGCGTGCCCCCAAGCTTTCACACCCCTCCTGTCTAGACCCTTTTGCTCATGATGTTCCCTCTACTGGGCATACCCTTCCTTGTCCCCGGACCTGTCTCTGTCTAACCCCAGGTTGCCTCTTAGACTCTAGGTAACTGGAAAAGCCCTTCTGGTCATCTGTTTCTTACATAGTGTCATTCCGTCCTCCCATCTCTGCCTGCTCCCTCCCCAGGTAGCCCTGAATGCACTTACCGGCTGGGGCATCGGGGGCGGGGCTGCGGCAAGGCATGGTGGGGCTCGGGGAGAGGCTGTGGGTGGGCGAGCCTGGGAGGCTCTCGCTGGATGACAGGGAGTGGTGGAGGCCGGAGGAGAAGCTGCGGCTGGTATGCAGCACTGATGACTGTTTCGAGATCTTCTTGAAGAGCGACTTCCGCCTGTGGGTGAGAACCCCGGGTGCTCCAGGATTCCTGCTCTCAGTGAGTTCTCTAGGACCCCTGCCCCCAGCAGTCCCACACCCCAGCTGATACAGGTCCCCCATCCACTCTCTCTGGCTGCTCACCGGTCCTGCGTCTCCCGCCGGCGGCTCCGCTTGCTCCTGCGTGCCATGCGGCCCTTGGCCACGTTCTTCCGGGCGGGACCCACCTTGATGGAAGTGTTCTCCAGGGCTGTGGTCCGGAGGGTGATCTTGTTGCTGCTCTGCAGGAGTGATGATGAGGGGTCACCTGTGTGCCTCCATTTCATGTGCACCCCTCCACACACCTCCTACTCATCCTTCAAAGCACCAGATCCTAGCCACCCACGTCTCACTTAATGACCCACCACTCACTAGGCTAAAGATACGTGCCTACTGTCCTTGTGCCCATCCGGTGAGCTGTCCACCCACCTGCTGGTCCCAGGAGTTACCCAACCCAGGGCCTGCCTCCTCCTGTGTCCCCACACCCCGGCCTCAGCCCCTGAGGACTCCTGGTCTGAGTGAGGCAGAGATGGCACAGGCTCCGTGGGATCAAGGATTCTTGGGGGAGTAGCTCCGAGGGGTGATGTTAGGGACCAAAAAAAAAGCACATCCTGGGCCAAGGGGTGGGGGCGTGCAAGACCTGGAGTTGGGATGAGGGTGGAGCAGTGTGGATGGAGAGGAGACCTACGGAAACCTCAGCATCAAAGGCCAAGGGGCGGTGGAGGTCCTGGGAGTCCAGAGGGGGGGAAGGGCGTGAGGGTCCTGGGAGCCCCGAGGACGGGCAGTGGGGGCGGCACCTTCAGCAGCAGCTCAACAACGTCCATGTGCACCAGCCCCAGGACAGACTCCCCATTGATGTGGGTGATGAGGTCTCCAGCTCGCAGGCCCGCCTCCTGGGCGGGACTCCCCTCCTCCACGTTCTGAGGGGAAATGGTGGGGTCAGCTGCCTGTTGCAACAGCAGGAAACCCCAGCAAGCTGTTGCCTCTCATGCTGCCTGTTTCCCTGACCTTGGGGGCTGTTCAAAGAATGATCAGTGGGGAGAGAATGGCCAAGCCTTGGGCTGGGGAAGGGAGAGCAACCGATCCACTGTGCACCTGCCAGCAGCGGGCATAAGCTTCATGCCCACTGAGGGTCTCTGTTCCTCTGTCCAGCCCTGTCTCCCTTGCCCAACCCCCTCCCCATAACTGACAGGGACAGCAAAGACCCAGGGGGCACCAGCTCCCTGCCCTGGGCTCCAAAACCTCACAGACTAGGAAACAGCTTCAACCAGGTCAGGCTGTCCCTGCCCACCCTCAGCTGAGCTCACCCAGACGACATGGTGCACAGTGTAGATGTCACTGTCACCCATGTAGACGCGAATGGCCCGCAGGCTGAAGCCATACTTCTTGCCAGAACTGTGGATGACAATGGGGGGCCGCAGGCTGCCGCACACAGGGGACGGGTCTCGGCTGGGAGAGGAGTCACGGGATGATGGGTTCGAGGAGAGTGAGCGTGGGGACAGGGGGCTCATAAGGGGGCCTCCACTGCCATCATCTGCAGAGACGAAGGTTAGAAAAGGGGTCACTCCTTTGTGGCCCCTCCCTCCTGATATAGCGCCTTTCCCCCCTCCACCATACTGACCACTCTGGCTGCTTTGCTGCTGCTCCAGTGCCCTAAGAGTGGTCCCCCTACTGGACCTTTGTACATGCAGTGCCCTCTGCCAGGAGTGCCAGTCCCCCAGGTCTCCCTGTGCCCAGCTCCTTCCTTTCTTCTAGGGCTCAGGTGCAACATCACCCTAAACGACCCCCTCTAGCTCCAGACGCCCCATCCCACAGTTAAAATGGACATGGACAGACAAGCAAAGACTAGATCAGGCCACGGACATTACCGGCTGTGATGATGAGTGAGAGGGCGGACACTGAGGCCGACTTGGGCACACGGCCCCCGCTGGCGGAAGCCTTGGACTTCTCAGGGGCTGGATCTCTTGGGCCCCCAAGGCGGCGGCCCCGGCTGGCATCCAAAGCCCGTGGTGTGGAGTGTCGGGCACCAGTGCTGTTGCTCCGTAGGCGTGAGTGGCTGAGGGTGGCAGGGTCAGCTGGGGAGTTAGCAGGGTGAGGGCATCAGCCTGGCCCTCAGGAGGCAAAGTGGATGTGGAAACAGTCTAGCCTCCTGGCCTTTGCTCAGGCAGTTCCCTTGTTCTGCACAACCTTCCTACATTGCTCTCCCTGGAGAGCGCCACTCTTCAAGTCCCCAACTCCAGGAAACCTTCTCCCCACCCATCAGACCCCTAGCTTCCCCCTCTCGGAGCTCCTTAGCCCCATCCCTCTCTCTAGGCCCATCCTGACTCAATAAAGCTGGGGGCTCATTAGGCACCAAGCTCAGACCTGAGGTATCTCCTATCTTAAAGACTTTGTTAGACAAGTAGATGTTCTCTTTGCATAACTCCTACTCATCCTTCAAAACCCATCTCAAATAGTCCTTCCTCTAGGAAACTTTCCACGACACCACCCCTCCCACACTGGACCCCACCTACCAGAGAGGGTCGAGGACTTGGGCATCACTGGAGTGGCTGCTGGGGGCGGGTCAGGCTCCCCCAGAATAAAGACAGGTCTCTTGGGGCCCACAGCGGCTGGGCCAGCTCCCTCATCTTCTGATGAGAAGGCAAACTTGGGCATTGTGTCCAGGCTGATGGTGCTCAGGAGAGAAGGACTTGGTCCCCGCTCAGGCTGGGAAGAGGATGAGTGGCAGGAGGAACCGGAGGATGTCCAGGACCTCAGCCTAAACAGGGAAGAGCCCAAGTCACACTTGCCAGGTACCCTCACTCCGGGATACCCAGTCACCCCCAGTGGCCACATCTTAATTCTCAGCCTAGAGTCAGGGACAGTTTGTAAATAGAGAGTGACTTCCTCTGCCTGCTCCATTCTCTGTGTCTACCCAAAGAATTCCTATTCATTTTCTAAAATTCAGCTTCCAATGCCCATCCTCTAGGTGATATTATTTCTGTTGAGTCTGGACTTAGAAGGCTAAATAGGAGTTTGTTAGCAAAGGGTATTGTGGGCAGAGGGAAGAGTGCACAGCTGTTTTGTTTGGTGCAGTTAAGAATGCAAAGCCAAAGGGAGTGATGATAGGGGCCAGGTTGGCAGGGGTTTGACAGGTTGGCCAACATTTGACCCTTTTCTACTGGGTTACTTGGAAGCTCTTTCTAATGCTAGATTTTGTGGCTCTACCTCCAGCAGACTTGGAGTCTGGATCTGCTTATATTGCTCAGCCTACCTACCACCCACCTACCGGATGTCGGTGCTCAGTCGGCGGCCATACTCCCCATCGCTGCGTTCCCACCCTTCTTCTCGGTCCTCACTGAAGCTCCGTTCAGCGAAGGTGGGGGTGGGCTGCACGGCTAGGAACTCGGAGCTGCTGTAGACCTGGGGAGTAATAAAAAATAACAGTAATAACAATGAAGGCAGGAGCCGCACCCACTTCCTACATGCCTGATGCTTCCCTGTGATTCACTTCCTTAAATCCTTACTCAGCACATCCCTAAAGACAGCAGAGTCTGTAGCCCACTTTACAGGTGAGAAACAAACCCAGAGGGGCCCGGCCACCAAAGTAGGCCACAGCCAGGGTTTCTGTTACTGATCAGGACACCCTGCCCGGGGCCTAGGCCCACAAACAGTGCAGACGGTTTTCTGAACAAATTACAAACAAAGGAAGAAACTTAAGTGAAGCTTGTGAGGCTATAACATGACACCCAGCATAGGATGTCTAGTCACAATTGCCAAAAAAGTGGAAACAACCTAAATATCTATCAGCTGATGAGGATAAACACAATGTGGTTCATCCACATGATGGAATGTTACTCAGCCATAAAAAAGAATGAACTATTGGCACATGTTATAACATGGATGGACCTAAAAAACATGCTGTGTGAGAGATGCCAAACACAAAAGCCCACATTGTGTGTGACCCCATCTACATAAAATGTCCAGAAAAGGCAAATCCATAGAGACAGAAAACAGATGAGTGGTTTGTTAAGGGTTGGGAAGAGGAAGGTGGGGAGTGACTGCCAATAAGGATGGGGTCTCCTTTGGGGGAGACAGAAATGTTCTGAACTACATAGCGGTGATGACTGCACAATATTGTGAATGCGCTAAAAGTCACTGAATTGTACATTCTAAAATGGCTAATATGGTATATTTCACATTGTATTTTATCAGTTAAAAAAATGCAAAAAACTAAACAGCTCACAAGTTTCCTGAGCGCTACCTATACCCAGAGCCTGGGCCCCACCTT